GCAAAAGATCCTGGACAGCCCATACTGCTATTTAGTTTCTTCTGCATTGGAAAGGGGCAATAGGACAAATAGTATGCCCGTACTACTGTACAATGTATACTACGTTATTTGCTGGTCTCATGAGCGGTGGCATAGAATTCCCCGGGGTTGGTATCGAAGGTGTCACGTTTAAAAAGAGAAGATTCTGAAATGAAAGACAAAAGTTCAAAGGCAGTGCCACGTTTRGTTGTCAGYAAGCGGGAAAGGGGAAAAGAGATTGCTGTGCGGGAAAATTGGGGAAGGCAAAAGCTTCTGAGGAGGGCAAAATTTAGGATCATCATCATTCTGGAGTKAACATACATGGGGACTTGTTGGCAGGGTAACACCGTAACACTTACAATCARCAGTTTGGAATGAATGTAGATGGGGAATCGGCCATTCACTTGCGCCCTGTTCCTCTKTGAAAATCTGAAGTCCCTCGGCGGGTGCTCATGGTTCACTTCGCGGTTGACTAAACAGAAGAAATTCAGGAAGTCGGTAGGTTTGCCAGGCAGGCCATTCGCTCTTATGGCATCTCCAATGTACTTGTACATACTTTGTATTGTATTGTGCTGCAATCTGAGGATCATCTGTATCTTCTGATCTAAGGGATTTCCCTCTGGCCACATAGGAAGGACAATGTGGACAGCAAAGTCCTCCCGACGGCGTATCTTGCTCACAATCTTCTTCGCTATTTCTATCGGGACCTGGTGGGCCGCTAATCCCATGTATCCTGAAATATCGTCCTCCTGCCAATATCCCGAGCTACCAATGAAATACTGATTCTCAATGTAAAGGAAGTCCTCGGCCCGCCGGATTGTTTCAACATATGTCTTGTAGATGCTCTGCTCGTAGACACTGTTCATTATGTCATCGGTTGAAAGATCTCAGTATTGTCCCATGTCAAAAGGCCCTGCACCAGTAGTGGGGAATCCTACTGCGGACAGATCACCTATAGAACGAATGAAGTGCACATTCCAAGCTTCGGGATCGTCTTCTGGGACTGCCATGGCATCCCGTGACTTGAAAACCGTGGTGTTCCTTCTRAAGTCGAAGAGTAAGATGCTTGGTGGAATTAACGAATCATCATCTGTAGGYGGTCCACAAATGTGGCCTGGTTCTAGCTTTTTCCACCTCTGCTCGAAGTTCTTTAAGATGTCCCATGCACCAGGACCCTCCACCTTGGCATGAATGTCGTGCCATGGTTGGCGAGGGCCACCYTGTGTGTCGTCCCAGYTGGGCTGGTACAGATCGTCTTTATGCCAGTTGTGAAGAGTCTGGAACAGAGGATGATCTGGCGTGTCAAAACGACCTTTAGTCAGATCAATGCCTCCAATATAGGCTTCAACAACCCTTGGTGAGCTATAATTGTGGCTTAYGGGGTCTTGGGCATCCATTATTACCAGCTTCTGATGGTGACTGAATCCGATTCTCTGGCGACCCTGCAAAACGCAGTGGATTKTACTTTGCCCTCCACAGAGTGCTGGGCACGAATCGCCAGAATGAGYTCCCGTATCASCAATTAGCTCTACAGCAGCTTCAATCAGCGGGTTTGTGCTCTCCACCRGATTGTCCCACCAGATCAACAGCWGCACTCTGACRCCCTCGTGTGCCTTGGATCGCAGCAGTTCCTCTAGGGACATCCCCAAGCAAGGATGTGGCCGAGACTCATCTCTCACCAGTACGACACTTTTGAGGAGGTCCCATCCAGCTATGTAAATGAAATRCCTTGCATTTAGAATTGATGTACATAGCTCTTCCCAGAGTCTATGTTGTGTGAAGATGCTCCCACTCCCSAGCCGCACTTGAGGGTTGAAGCTGTTTGGCACATGAGCATCTTGGAAGAGAGTCACGCGGTTACCCTTCTTCAGAGAGAAGACAGAAGGGCCTGCTSTCGATGCGTTCTCCMACKTACSACCCGGAAGCAACGACTGCTCTTTGAATGCAAGCCTTAGCAGAATTCTGGAGTCTGTCCAGGTATTGTTGGAGCACAGTTTGAACCAATCATCACCTGTTCCGCCACTGAATATCATGRGGGCAGACGTACGGATGTACGCGGCCCCAACATATTTGCTATCCCCTTCACAGCTGACAGTGACAAGCACCACWAAGTATCTGCCTGTACAACGTGTGAGCTGTATGTCGAAAGATTGACCCCAGACTGCATTTGGTCGAGGAACAGCATCGGCTGACGTTACCAAAACTTCAGACTGCAGTGCAACACTGGCATAACTTCTGTGACACTCGTTCCAGTCAAGTTTAGCCACCATCTGCACAAGGCATTGCATTTTTCSCCGCCGTTGCAGATACACACACAAAAAGAAAAGGGAGGACCCACGCGTCAGAGTACAARGGAAKAAGGGAGGCTGGGGTGGCATGCGAAAGAACAGAACAGGATGACAAATGTAACYGTGAGTGACAATAAGAGAAAAGGCAGGCGAACAAGTGCAAGCTAGAGCCAACTGGCACACAGATAAGAGGAGCTTCTTTCACGTTGGTTTTTGAATAAGATCGTCTTGATCAGATGTGGCCTATGTATCACCCCTGGTCATGACGGGGGGGTCAGGGCGGCGAGAGGGTGAAGCGGGTGGCCCGCGACCGGACGTCATTTGGCCGCGGGCATCACCTATTTTTTTGGTAAGAAAACAAAACAAAAAAGTAAAAAGAAAATTGGGGTCGTAGGGCTCTTCGGGCTCTACAACCTCTTTTTTTTCTTCGAGTTTTAATTTTTTCAATTAGAAARAAAATGAAAAACGAACTAGGCTGTGTCAGCAACCGGMCGGCTGGAYGGGACCGGATCCAACCGGGCCGGTTGGACCCCCRGGGTGTGGTCCCATTAGCAGTCGGATAGGAATGTGGCCGATCCAGTGTGACACTGAGTSGCAGCGGCCAGACACRTTCATTACGAATTTCTGSGCTGAGAAAACAGGAAAAGCCCGAAAAGAAAAAAGAAACAGAGACCTCCCACCGGAAATGACGGCAGAGTGCTTCCCAGCCATCAGATCACAAATGATCTGATGGTGGTGGTTGCAAAAACGGTGAACAAAGTAACCGCCACATTTTTTTGGAACAAAATTCGACTTCTGTCAGAAGTGATCCTGACACCCTCCATATACTCCGTGATTGAAGGAGGGCTCCACCCAATGAGATAATTGCACAACAGCAAGCAAAATACTGAAAATCTTCTATCCGGTGGGCCTATGGCCGACCCCACTCTCTTTTGGGGTTGGCCAYGCCCCCAAAGGATTGAAAAAGATTTTGGCGGRAAGCTTCCTTTGCACCGGCATGCCCAGGAGAGGTGGAGGGGAACGAAGATCTCCTTTACTTTTTCGGGTAATACATGTAAAATACTGACCGTGGGAACACCAGTACTGCACGGCAGGATTTGGGTCACTCAACTGCCACACAAACTCTTTTCTATCCTATCCGKTTGCTAGTGGGACCATGCCCCCKTTGGTTCAACCGGGATTCCCGTTGCTAGTGGGCATAAAAGTGGGTCATTTAACTCTCGGCAAACGAATATCTTGGCCCTTGCAACGATGAAGAGCACAGCGAAATGCGATACCGAATGTGAATTGCAGAAATCCGTGACACGTGGCGCCCAAGGCTTCTGCCGAGGGCATGCCCGCCTGAGCATCATTGGATTT